CCATTATGTTAATCATCCATTCTCTTATCTTTCTCCTATTTCCAAATCCAATTTTCCATTATGTTTATCATTCATTTTCTTATCTTTCTCCTATTTCCAAATCAAATTTCCATTATGTTAATCATCCATTCTTTTTTCTTTCTCCTATTTCCAAATCCAATTTTCCATTATCTTATCTTTCTCCTATTTTCAAATCCCATTTTCCATTGCACGGTTTAAAGAATTTTCCATTATTATTATTATTAAGTTATACTTTTTTCTTTCTCAATTTCCAAAAACTTTCCATCTTTTAAAAACAATTTTTCTTCAGTTGAAATTAATAATTTTTTTACTGCGATTTTCAAACCTTTCATTTAACCACTTTTTCTATGAACTCTTGCAAGTCCTGATTCATGAAGGATAATATAGAAGAAGAGATGATGATCACCGTTTAAGATCGGGAGAAGGGGGACTGATATGATATGATATTCCAATATTGCTTGAACATTCTTTAAATGCCTCGAACAATAATTGGAAATACAAATTCCTCAATAACAATTAAATGAGTTGCTCTGAGTAGATAATTATGATGGAGTCTTCAGTCCAGTGGTTCAAGTTCTACATCACCTGTTCTAGAACCTTCATAACCCAACACTTCTTCCGTACCCAGTAAACCACCACCTACCTTCAAGTACACGATACAAATACTGTATCTGATGATTTATAAATATCATAATATAGTCCACTAAAAAAACAAAAGCTTTAAAAATATTATAAATGGTATTTTTTTTAGATATCCGAGCAAAGTACCATTGATTGTTGAACGATTTCGCAGAGAAAAATATATCGGGGAAATAGATAAGGTAAAACTTGAACTATAGGGCCATTTTATGTAGAAACAAATATTTCAAAAAAGATTCTCAACAACTTGATAAACTCTTTAATTAATTTCTTGGCAAAATACTTAATAAACTACTTAATAAACTTCTTTATAAACTACTTGATAAACTCCTTTATAAACTCCTTTATAAACTTCTTGATAAACTCCTTTATAAACTACTTGATAAACTCCTTTATAAACTTCATGATAAACACCTTGATAAACTCACTGATAGACTCCATGATAAGCCCCTTTATAAACTCCTTGACGAACTCCTTGTTGTAGGTTAAGTGGTTGGTGCCTGTAGAGATGACTACATTGCAGTTGTCTGTAGTTCTAAAGCAAAGGTTAAACCTTCCCCCCGGCAGAGAGTTTTTTCTTCTTGTAAACGGAAGGTGAGGATTTTATTTTAATTTTTGTGGCATCAATTTGACTTTACTTCTTTGTCCTGAAAAGGTCTTTATAAAAATGTGACCTTTAGAAAACTATTTTTATCTAAATTTTGTGCTAAAGGAACTGAGTTTTTGCCACAATCTAATATTTTCTAATCCCTATATCTTCAAAACCAGATGATGTAAACCTTTTATATTTCGAACTTAGACTTTTTGGTCAAACAGGATTCATAGTTTGAAATATCTAAGATCTACGACATTGGGTTGCACAGATATAGGGATTTTAAGTTTGTTTCAAAAACTTATTTCATTCTGTTGGGTTCTTTAAAAAATATGATAAACTGCAGCGCTTGGATCCGGATCCATTTTATCCCCTGTATCCGGATCCATTTTATCCCCTGTATCCGGATCCGCAAAATCATGCAAATCCAAGGATACAAGTGGCAAAATATCATCCATAACTGCCAGAAATATTTATGAACTAGATCAAGATCTATTTTTTCCGGGACGGAGGAACTAAGGATCCGGATCCACATCAAAATGAGATGTATTAAGACTATATATGTAGAATTAAAGAAAACTAATTGTTTATTTCTATTACAGAACTGTTCCTAGTCTAACGTCACCAATGGTCTCCTTGCATCAGAAGTTTGCGGATGAAGATGGATTTCTTTATTTTACCTACTCATCCCAGGAGTGTTTTGGTTAACATTCAACCCTGGAGTATCATCCTTGGAAGGAGCTTAAAACATGAATGTGATGAATTGGATAGAACAGTGTCTAATGACCCAACTCGATGGCAAGATATCAAGATAACGCCTGTTTATTGGTTAAATTGGCGCTTTCAAATTTGTCAAAGATAATGCTTTGATTTTGACCTTAAAAAGCGCCAAATTAGACAATAAAAATGACCCAACATGGCGCTAAATTATATTCATAATAAATATTAGCACTGATAATAATTTTAAATGGCGATCAAAATATGACAATTAATTTTAGATTGTTTTTAAAGTTTTTCAATAATTCTGTCCATGGTTTGGATGATTTCCTCGGTCCCAGATTCTAGGTTACGCCAAGCACCACTGATGATAAAAATGTTCAAATAAGCTCGAGTGTATTATATATATATTTGCATATGAATATGAAAATTTTACTCAATATTTTTTTACGAATTCAAATTGTTTTTATGAAAGGCCTCTGTAAAACTATGACAAAACCCTGTACGTTTATCACCGTTCTAGATTATACAATGAAACTCGTAAAACAGTGGAATAGGAAGACGACTCACTTATTATTTTAAATTGGCCTCTCAACACAACACAACACTTATGCAGTGTACACAGATCCACATCACTTAAATCCATTTTCAAGCTACTGTTAAAACTGCTTTCTCCATTTACAACATTAAATACACCGATAACGGCTCTAAAGCTTTCTTCTTATTCCTCAGTTTTCTGGGTCTCACTGTAGTGGAATAACGTTGTGATATTTTTATATATTTGTACATAAACTTATTTTTATACATAACAATATATGTTAGATAATAGTCTGTATCATTTAATAAATGAATTTAAATTTTAGACATGTGTTTTGTAATTCTATAAATTTCATACTGATTTTATGCACAAATTTGTCTGATTACATATTAGAAATTCTTAGTCTTTTTCTTCTTCTGAATAGCTCTTCGAATAGAGGAGTTTTGTTTTAAAACATATAGGATTTCAATCTTGCGTGCAATTTTAGCGTAAAGGGGCTGTATGCCTAAAATCAAGCGACCTTCTGGAGATGCGCTGTATTTACTATTTATCTCTAAAATCTAGGGACCTTCCGGAGATGCACTGTATTTACTTTTAATCTCTAAAATCTAGGGACCTTCTGGGGATGCGCTGTATTTACTATTTATCTCTAAAATCTAGGGACCTTCTGGAGATGCGCTGTAATTACATTTTATCTCTAAAATCTAGGGACCTTCTGGAGATGCGCTGTATTTACTTTTTATCTCTAAAATCTAGGGACCTTCTGGAGATGCGTTGTATTTACTTTTTATTTCTAAAATCTAGGGACCTTCTGGAGATGCGCTGTATTTAATATTTATCTCTAAAATCTAGAGACCTTCCATGGCCTCCATGCAACAAGAGATGCGCTGTATTTACTTTTTAATATTCACCTCTAAAAAATTTTCAAATTGCCGTAAAACATGATATAACAAACGTGGTTTTAAAAATTCATAATAAAAATATTAATTTTTTGGTTATTTAAACTTTTGATTTTTCTTTCACTCTGCTAAAGACCTTTAGAGGAAATATATGCTTAAAACAAACGTTTTTTTGGCAAGGTTTTCCCTTAAATTTGCTCTTGGTATAAAAATATTACAAAGTATGAAAGTTTGATTTGAAAAGCAAACTTTTAAGGAATATAATTTCGAAATGTTGGAAGTTCGCAGTATTTTTTTGGTGCCTTTTAAAATTCCAAATCTCCTAAAAACAAACCCAAGTTATTTCCCCAATAATTCAAAAGTCTCGTAAGTCGCTTTTTATGAAGCTATATTTTTAACACATTGGTTATACATAATTATTAAAAACAGCTTGTATCTGCACCAATGTAATAGGCAGCGGCCCTAGGAATTTACGTGCGCCTGCCGCGTTTAATTACAAAAATGAGAGAGATTAGTATATAATTAAGGGTTAGGCTGGGTTAAGACACTTTTTGGGCCGAGCGCCGCAGCTAGAACAGACTCTCTCTCTGTAGCTGTAATTCAATGCGGCATGCGCACGTAACTTCCTTGGGTTCAATGAGATGCATCCAGTGTTTTAATCTTTCAGTTGAAGTTCTTAAAACAAGTCTTGCTTCTGTTCAAACGAATTTTGATAATATTATTGCATTACTGCCAATTTTCAATACATACAGATTTAAATACGGAAAATAGAGTTTTCGAGTATTATGTGCGTAAGAATGTAATGCAAGGAAAGTTAATTGCAGTTGCGAATACTATACGTACATGTTGAAGCCAGTTCTCTCTGGGCGGAATTTGTAAACAAGAATAGATGCCCCAGTGTTCGTTTGGTATCCGAGGAGGTTAAAAGCATTGAATTTTGATAATTTTGATAATTAACATAATATTTCCTATGACCAGAATATTTCATTGATTATTTATGCGAAAGATGGATCCCATGTCAGGTTTCGACATCCGTCTTGTGTTTACATTACCGCCCAGTGACAGTACACTGCAGTACGAAAGATGCGTATACCTCTGAAATAACTTTCCTTGCATGAAATCCTTGTATGTGCGTATTTTGACGTTGAAGCTTGTAGATAATCTAATATGATATGATGGAACGTTCTGTAAATGTATCCTATTGGAGATGACAAAACTATTTTTATTCGCTCTGTTTGTAACTTTAAGACATCAGACAGAGCTGGGAATTGTTTTTTAATGGTCTTAGTCTAAAGGAATTCGGCGGCCAAACTCGATATCCAGTGGACAAACTTAAAAAGAACAAAAACCGAATTGAGCCGCGTCTTAAGAGACGCGGCTTAAACATTGTTGGTTCCACCTAAAATTGTATTCAGTGTACTTCGAGATTTTTTGGAGGTTTAGTGGCGAGGTTTAAATTCTTTAAGTTCGGCTCCAGGCATAAAGTAATTATTCCCTTGAGATTTCTCATAACTCATCTCCTAAATTCACCAAAGACAGCATTTCACCTTCCCACCGTGAAAAGTTAAGGTTTATCTACAGGGTGACCCAATAAACATGGGAATTGAGAGACGACTTGAAAATCGTCTTTGAACTCCGTTAATTGATAAATGCCATAAATTGCATCAAAAAAATATTAAGCGTTTACTGAGCTTTCCATAATTTGGTCTACCTTCTTTTTATCTTTAAAATTGACGGAGATATTAAACATTGTAACAGTTTTGTTGAATTTTCATTAACTGTAATAAGGACAAATTTTCTAATATCTTAGTCAATTTTAAAGGTGAAAAATGGTAGACCACATTTTGGAAATCCCGAGACTGAGAGTTTTCGATGTTAAATGTTTTAACTGTGATACTACAAAATATTATTCATAAAATAATCCCTCTTGGAACAAATACGATATAGAAGTCGTCATTTAATTCCCATGTTTATTGAGACACCCTGTATCTATGTGAACTTGTGAAGATCTTCAGTTAAGCCTGGACCAGGGAGCAAGGAATAGAAGGGAGAGACAACTGACGCGGTTCGCCCTACCATATGATTATACATGCTTTGCAGACGGTACTCCATTTTATATCGAGCTGTTTGGTTTCTTTAGTAGGGCCCCACAGGAAAAATATGTATTGGCTCAATTTTCTTTGACCAGTTTCGCCAATACATATTTTTCCTGTGGGGCCCTACTAAAGAAACCAAACAGCTCGATATAAAATGGAGTACCGTCTGCAAAGCATGTATAATCATATGGTAGGGCGAACCGCGTCAGTTGTCTCTCCCTTCTATTCCTTGCTCCCTGGCCTGGACTCCGAGACATAGTCGGTGATTAAACAAAACTTTGGATTTCTTAAATTTCTGGATTTTTCCAGTTTTCCGTCCATGAAAAGTGTAAAAATAATCAAAATAATCTTAATAATCATTTATGATAATCTTAGCCTCTACAAATAGTTTTTTTTAACATAGTTTATTTGTCATTTAAAGATATGGACATCTAGCAAAATTGCTAATATATCATGACGATTATAAATATCTTACTATTGACAACACATTTAAAATCAAGAACGATATTCTTTTAAGCTTAATTAAAGGTGTACTAGATCTTACACACTGACACCCTTCCAAAATAAACCCAGGTACAATAAAAAATGGCATAAAACAAAATATAACATCATAACAACTTTAAACAATAAGTTTGCTATTACCAGCAAAACTAAGAAAAAACAATACTTTAAATAAAATCTAAATTACTAAAAAAACTAAACTCCTGCGCACAAAGTTGCTCCACCATTGTTAGCAAACTGTCCGTTAACCCACGTTCTTAGGCCGGCTACCTCAGCATATACTCCGTAGAACCCAGCCTAAACAACAATATGCTTCTTAGAACGCAACCTAAATAGCAAAATACTCCGTAGAAACCAGCGTAAACAACAATATTATACTCCGTAGAACCCATCCTAAACAACAATATACTCTGTAGAAACCAGCCTAAACAACAATATACTCCGTAAGAATAAATGCTAAACAACAATATACTCCGTAAGAATAAATGCTAAACAACAATATACTCCGTAAGAATAAATGCTAAACAACAATATACTCCGTAAGAATAAATGCTAAACAACAATATACTCCATAAGAATAAATGCTAAACAACAATATACTCCGTAAGAATAAATGCTAAACAACAATATACTCCGTAAGAATAAATGCTAAACAACAATATACTCCAATAGAATAAATGCTAAACAACAATATACTCCGTAGAACACAACTTAAACAACAATATATTCCAATAGAATAAATGCTAAACAACAATATACTCCGTAAGAATAAATGCTAAACAACAATATACTCCGTAGAAACCAGCCTAAACAACAATATACTCCGTAGAACACAACTTAAACAACAATATACTCTGTAGAAACCAGCCTAAACAACAATATACTCCAATAGAATAAATGCTAAACAACAATATACTCCGTAAGAATAAATCCTAAACAACAATATACTCTGCAGAACCCAGCCTAAAAAGACAATATAGTCCGTAGAATCTAGCCTAAACAATATACTCCGATGAACGCAGGACTCCAGGGAAGTCTTATGGATATTAAGTATTATAAAAATTGTATGAGTGTGTCCAAAAGCTTTTTGATGTTTGTGAAATTGTAAAAATATGTAAATTGTAATATTTAAAGCCTCACACCTTTATCTCTTTGTTCTTTTAATGAATGCGGAGTAGTTAACCTGAACTGATTCATTAAGATTCAACAGTGCACCCCAGATCCTTGAATAGAACAGACGTATGAGCCAAGCTCCGTTTGTTCAACCAAGGCTGGGGGACGGGCACTTCATGGACAGCTCTCAGAAGGCTTACAGCATGTGGACTTACATGATTATATCTTACATGATCATATCTTCAGGAATACAATAAACCATTGATGAGGCAGATATCTCAGGTTACAACAGATCAGAGGAATAAACCATTGATGAGATAGATATCTCAAGTTTACAGTAGAATCAGAGATATGTGGTTCCACCTCAGTACAGCTGGTTCAACTACCCACATAATCTAATACTCCAGATGTTTCTATGGTTAGAAACACTGGAGCTATAGAGCAGACAGTGGAATCAGAGCAATATAGTTCCACCTCTATACAGCTGGTTCAACTACCTACACACTCTGATATCCCAGGTGTTCCTATGGTTAGAAACACTAGAGGCTCCGAGGATTGCTGGAACTATAGAATGGATAATAGAATCAGAGCAATGTAGTTCCACCTCTATACAGCTGGTTCAACTCCCTAAACCCTCTAATATTCCAGGTGTTTCTATGGTTAGAAACACTGTGGACTCAGAAGATATTACAGGCCAATGAATCCAGGTGAAAGG